TAATACGGTGCGCAAGTACCCCTGCCTCGAAGGGGCAGGCTCTGGCGGCGGCAAAGGCGGAGGGCATCGCCGGACGGTCCGGCGGCCGATGCGGAGCAACTGAGCCGGCTGGCTGGCATCAAGCCAGTCGGGGGCCGCGGCGAGTGGCCACGCCCGGCAGGATCTGCTGGAGCCCTGGGCGGATCAGATCTACCAGTGGCTCACCGGCGACCGGTTGCAGATGACCCGCATCCAGGAGTTGCTGGCCGTCCGAGGGTTGCAAGCAGTTGCGGATTTGGTAGGCAATGATATGCAATCGTGGCTTATGGTACGTTCTTGGTTTGTTTGGTTGGTGACGCGCGGTTGTGGTTAGTCGAACCGTGGTTCCGGTATCATACCTTCATGTCTCGTCCCAGGAAACGCCGTCGCCAACCTGACCAGTCATCGGTTGGTCAAAGCCCAACGGTGAGCACGTACCAGACCCGCATCGCGGTTTATGAGGGCAGGGACCGTGGGGAGGGCGATGCTGCGCTGTCGGCGTATGCGGCGTTGTATGGCAAGGTGCAGCGGAAGCTCTTCGCCGACGTGGTGGCGGGCCGCTCGGCGGCATCGCTGAAGAGCGACTACATCAAGAAGCACGGGATACCGGCGCGGATGTTCAACGGGGTGCGGGTGTCGCTGGAGGGCAAGGTGGCGTCGGTGCGGGAGTCGCAGCGGTTGCAGCAGGACAGTCTGCAGCGGCGGATTGATCGGGCCCAGCGGCAGGTTTCCGATGCCGCTGAGCGGGGCCGATGGGATCAGGTTCATCAGAAGAAACGGCGGCTGGCCAATCGTCGACACACGGTGGTTTGGACTGGAAGCCGACATCGCGGAGGGCTGTGGTACGGCTGTGCTTCGGGTCGAGAGCGGCTGTGGCGGAAGAGCAGATCACTTGGAGGCCAACGGTTATGGGAGCCACGAGGAGTGGCTGAGTGAGTGGCGGGACTGCGCGCAGCGACGAGTTCTTTGTACTGGGGAGCCGGGATGAAACGGCGGGCTGCCAGCTGTGCGTGGCCAGTGTTGCCGATGACGGCAGGCTGACTTTGCGGCTTCGGTTGCCCGATTGCCTGGTCAATCAGCATGGCAAGTACCTGGTCATCGAGGGTGTGCGGTTTGCCTACGGCCACGAGCAGGTGCTAGCGGCCTTGCACAGCAATGCCGACTACGCCGCATACCGGCGACAGCATGGCGAGAAGGCGGCGCGTGCCACCGACCTGGGCCAGGCCATCAGCTACCGGTTCAAGCGGGACGGCAAGGGATGGCGGGTGTTTGTTAGCACCCAGATGAGGGACGTTCCGGTGGTTACGGACCGGCGGCGCGGCGCCATCGGGGTGGACCTGAATGCGGACCACCTGGCGGTGGCGGAGACCGACGCTTCGGGCAACTGCATCAACGCTTGGCGAGTACCGCTGGTGACCTACGGCAAGAACACCAACCAGGCGGAGGCCCTCATCGGCGACGCGGTGGCTGGTGTCGTGCAGTACGCGCGGGAAGCGGGCAAACCCATCGTTATTGAGAAGCTGGACTTCCGGCAGAAGAAGGCTGCTCTGGAGGGGGAGTCCCGTCGTTACAGCCGGATGAGTCCAGTTTCAGATACGGCAAGGTCAAGGCGTACTTCATCCCGCGGACTACCGTCAGGGAGTGGAAAGTCCATCAGGTCAACCCGGCGTTCAGTTCCGTAGTCGGCGGGTAGAAGTTCATGGAGCGGATACGGGCTGACGGTGCACACAGGCAGCGGCCCTGGTGCTGGCCCGTCGCTTGTCGGCTGTTCGAGCGCATCCGCGCCGGTGGGTTTGTCCCGTCGGCAATGGCGTTAGGGTCGCCTCACCGTACCCGTGAGGAAAGCGCGTGAAGCACGTGTGGACGTACTGGGGTGCTGTTTCGGGACAGCTGAGACCGGCGCTTGCAGCGCAGCACCGGCTGGGGAGACCCAATCCGGTTCAGGCTGTCGTGCGGGCGGAGGCTCGCGGGGTGGCTTGAGCGGGGACCAGTTCGGTGTTCCCGGGTGCGAGTCCCGGGCGGAGCCGTCTTGAACTGTTGGGGCGGCGCAGGGGTTTGGCTGACTGTGGGCTGTGACTAAAGTCAACCATTTTTACAACGGTGCGCAGTATCGTATCCGTCGCTGCGCCGTTTCATTTTGAAACGCAACTGGCGTCGGCTCAGCAAGACCACGGTGCGGATGGAGGACACCCCGCCGGGTGAGGTGGCGGAGGCGGACTTCGGTAGGCTGGGCATGATTACGGACCCAGCGACGGGACGACGCCAGGCGGTGTGGGCCATGGTCATCGTACTGTGCCACTCTCGGCATTGCTTCGTGTGGCCCATACAGAGCCAGCAGTTGGAGGACGTCATCGCCGGACTGGAGGCGGCGTGGGCTTTCTTCGGTGGAATGCCCAAGTATCCGTGTTGGATGTCAAGGGTTTTTCCGGCGTTTTGGAGCTGGCCGGTTTACTCGGTTTTCGGTACCCAGGGTGTTCCCCGACGGGCCACCGCGTTGAGCATGAGCAGCAGCTTGCGCATCACCGCCACCAACGCCACTTTGCCGGGTTTCCCGCGTTGACGCAGGTTCTGATAGAAACGGCGCAACTCGCCATCGACCCGGATGGCTGACCAGGTACAGAGGTACAGCGCGCGACGCACGATGCCGCGGCCGCCTCGGATGGACCGTTGTCCCCGCTTTTGGCCGCTGTCCCGAGACCAGGGGGCCAGACCGACCAGGGAGGTCAAAGCCTTGCTGTCCCATTGGCCCAGCTCCGGCAGATGGGAGACCAGGATCGCCGCGGTCAATGGTCCAATACCCGGCACGGTGCGGTACAAGGAAGCACGCTGGGCCAGGGGAGCGCTGCGCTGCAACGCCGCCTGGTACTCCCGGTCCAGTCGAGCAATCTCCTTCTCCAGCCAAGCGATGTGGCGCTTGGTGGACTTGGCTGCTCCGCGGGCTATGCCCTTGTCCAATCGGCCCAGTTCCTGAACTCGTTGGTCCACCAACCGCCGCCGCCGCAACAAGTCCCGCAGTTCCTCGACATCGGCACTCGCGGCCCGTCCAACCTGCACTAACCGGGAGGGCGGCCGCCGGATGGTATGATGCTTTGACTGATGGCTGCCGGCTGCCCAATGATAAGGAGGCTCCGAAATGCCCTATACTGCCGAAATCAGCCGCTTGAACCCCGGTTGCTTCCTGTTTCTGGTGATCCAGTGTATGACGATACCTCATGAATCGGCGGACGCCGTTAACCGGATTGTGGATACGCTGTCCCAACGCTGCTCCTCAGGTATGGATGTGCGGGATTACTTCCACATCGGCGTTTTGGGCTTTTCCACAAGGCTCTTTGGTACGGGGATAAAGACTACCTACGCCCTTCCCGGAACCAGCCCGGAGCGTCCCTTCCTACCCATCAGCAAGGTAGTGGAGGTGGCCGACATCGAGGAAAGGCAGGTGAGGGAGGACTACGGCGGAGGGGAAATAGTCGAAGTCACCCGACGGATGCCGGTCTGGCTGAAGCATCACAATGGAGGCCTTGACCCGATGTGTGCAATGCTAAGGAGTGTGGAGCCCGCCTTGGCGGAATGGATTGGCCAGCACCCCGACTCCTACCCGCCCATCGTCATTATCATCTGCGATGGTTATGCCACCGACGGCAACCCGCTGGGGGACGCGGAGCGCATAAAGAGCCTGCGAACCAACGACGGCAACGTGCTGCTGTTTACCGTCCACCTCTCGCATAATAATCAATCCCGTCCCACCCTGTTCCCCAGCCGGGAAGATGGCCTGCTTTCTTTAGGAGAGGGTACGGACGATTCCAAAATGATGTTCCGTATGGCGTCGGTGCTGCCGGAGGGCAGCCGGCGGGCGGCGAACAGCCTGGGCTTTGCGGCGGACGAAAACTCCCGCGGATTAGTTTTGAACGCCGACGCCGTAGCCCTGGCGCAGTTCCTCGACATCGGCACCCGCGGCCCCTCCAACCTACACTGACCGTAGGGCGACCGGTGGACGGTATGATGCTTTGACTGATGGCTGCCGGCTGCCCAATGATAAGGAGGCTCCGAAATGCCCTATACCGCCGAAATCAGCCGCTTGAACCCCGGTTGCTTCCTGTTTCTGGTGGTCCAGTGTATGGGGATGGGCGATCCAATGCCCGGACTGCCGGGGCAGACCAAAGGGGCGGTAGCCGCGGACGCCGTCAACCGGATTGTGGACACTCTGTCCCAACGCTGTTCCTCAGGCATGGATGTCCGGGATTACTTCCACATCGGCATTTTGAGCTTTAATGCCGGATGGTTATTAGTCAACAATATGGATGTTAATAGCGCCCTCGCCGGGACCACACCGGAGCGGCCATTCCTCCCCATCAGCCAGGTAGTGGAGGTGGCCGAAATTGAGGAAAAGCGGGTGAAAGAGGACTACGGTGGCGGGGAGATAGTCGAGGTCACCCGACGGATGCCAGTCTGGCTGCGGGTCCGAGGCAAGGGATGGAAGGACCCCTTGCGGGGAATGCTGAATTTTATCGAGCGCCCGCTGGCGGAATGGATTGACCAGTATCCCGACTCTTACCCGCCCGTCGTAGTAGTCATCTCCGACGGTGTGTTGACCGATGGCGATCCCCAGCAAGCCGCCAATCGCATCAGGAGTCTGCAAACCAGCGACGGCAACGTGCTCCTGTTCACAATCCACCTCTCCAGTGCGAAGACCAGTCCCACCATGTTCCCGAGCCGCGAAGATGGCCTGCCCTCTCTCGGCGAGGGTCCGGGTGATTCCAAAATGATGTTCGGCATGGCTTCGGTGCTGCCGGAAAGATTCCGCCATCAGGCGGCCAGCATGGGATTTCCAGTGGACGAAAACTCCCGCGGGCTTATCTTGAATGCCGACGCGGTAGCTCTGGCGCAGTTCCTCGACATCGGCACCCGCGGCCCCTCCAACCTGCACTGACGTAGGGCGACCGGTGTAATGTTATAGTAGCGACGCAATGTCCGACAATAACCCGCTAGAACGGATGGTGTCTAGGCAATGATTCATTGAGCATTGTTGTATAATGATGTATGTTTCTGTCATGGTGTACGTTGCAAGCCGTAAAGCCGCTGCGATGTTGGGCCTGCACCCCCAGACGCTGAGAAGGTATGCCGACCAAGGCAAAATCCCCCACTATCGGAACTCCGCTGGTCAGCGGCTCTACGACGTCGATGCCTACCTCCGCGGAGCATCCTGGCCCACTGTCGTGTGCTACTGCCGGGTCAGTTCCGCCAAGCAGCGTGGGGACCTCGGCAGGCAAGTCGCTCAGATGCGGGAACTCTACCCCGACGCCGAGATCGTCACCGACGTGGCCGGTGGCCTCAACTGGCAGCGCAAAGGACTGCTCTCCATACTGGAACGACTGCATCGGGGCGATAAGCTCGATGTTGTGGTTGCCCATCGGGACCGATTGGCCCGGTTCGGCTTTGAACTCATCGAGTGGTTGGTCGTACAGAACGGCGGCGCAGTCGTGGTTCTCAACCAGTCGGATGCCAGCCCCGAATCAGAGCTCACCGAGGATCTACTCGCCATTCTCCACACGTTCAGTTGCCGGATGCACGGACTCCGACGCTACCGAGCGGCAATCGCGCAGGATACGGGCCTATCCGAATGCCCGGCAGAAGGTTCAGATAGTAACCTGGCTGGACGCCAGTCGATGGGTCTACAACCTGACGGTTGAGGTTCTGCAATCGGGCATACCGGCAGTGTGGCAGCATATTGCCAGCATGGTGATGGCAGAGCTGAAGGTGCTGAAGCCGGAATGGGAGTCGGTACCGTACCAGGTGAAGCGCACGGCGGTGCGGGACGCCTGCCGGGCGATGAGCAACGTCAAGACCTTCAACCGGCAGTTGGCGGCTGACAGAGCCAGAGGCGAACGGCCAGACGAGGATTTCGCACAACTGCGGTTCCGCAGTCGGAAGAACCCCCGTCAGTCATGCTACATACCGGATGACGCGGTCACTGAGCACGGCGTCTATCACACCATTCTGGGACCGTTGCGGATGGCTGAGGTCATTCCGGCGGGGCAACAGGAATGCCGGCTGGTGCAGGAGCGCGGCCTCTATTGGCTGGTGGTGCCTCACCCGGCGCAATGCGACATTGAGACCCCAAGCGGTGATGGCGTAGTGGCGCTCGACCCCGGCGTTCGCACCTTTCTCACCTACTTTTCCGAAACCGAATGCGGCAAGCTCGGCCACCACGCCTTCGGGCGCATCCAGCGGCTCTGCCACTGGCTGGACGACCTGATCAGCCGCACTGCCAAGGAACCCAACCGACGCAAGCGTCGGCAAATGCGCAGCGCACAGGCGCGAATGCGGCAGCGAATAACCAACCTGGTGGACGAGCTCCATTGGCAACTGGCTCGCTGGTTGACCAGCAACTACCGGATCATCCTGCTACCGACGTTTCGAGACCCACGACATGACCCAAAGGGCTGGCCGCAGAATCCGCAGCAAGACCGCTCGCATGATGCTCACTTTCCGCCACTACGAGTTCAAGCAACGCTTGCAGTGGAAAGCCTGGCAGCGCGGCGCATTGGTGCTCGACGTCAACGAGGCGTACACCAGCAAGACCCGCAGTTGGGACGGCGCCGTGAACACCAAGTTGGGCGGCGCCAAGGCAATTCGGGATGAGAACGGATTCGGAATGGACCGTGACGTAAACGGCGCCCGTGGGATATTCCTGCGGGCTTTGGGAGACAGCCCCTTCCTGCGTGGCTTGCTCACGCAGGTTGCATCGCAAACAACGGCCTCAGCGTAGAACGTTGTTCAGCGTTTAACTGTCGGAAAGGAGGCAACCAAATGCCCTACTCAGCAGACATCAGCCGCACCAGTCCGGGGTGCTTCCTGTTTCTGGTCGACCGGTCGGGTTCGATGGAAGCCGCGCTGGCCGGACAGCCGGGCCAACGCAAGATGGACCAGGCGTCGGACGCCATCAACCGGATACTGGACGCGGTGACGCAGCGTTGCTCTCAGGGGATAGACGTCCGGGATTACTTCCACATCGGCATCCTGGGCTACAATACCGACGGCACGGGCGCGCCGATAATCTCCAGCGCCCTCGCCGGAACTTCTCCGGAGCAGCCATTCCTGCTGATTAGCCAAGTGGCGGAAACCGCCCAGGTGGAGGAACGGCAGGTGCGGGAGAGCGACGGCGCCGGCGGGGTAATCGAAGTAACCCGGCGGTTTCCGGTCTGGCTGCATCCTCACGCTGAATACGGCACGCCGATGTGCGAGGCGCTGGATTACGCCGCCCGGTCGATAGAGAACTGGATTGGGCACTTCCCCGACTCCTTCCCGCCCATCGTCATCAACGTCTCTGACGGCAACGCCACCGACGGCGATCCGGAGCCCTTGGCCCAGCGCATAATGGACCTCCAGACCAACGACGGCAACGCGCTGGTGTTCAACATCCACCTTTCCGAGATGGCGACGATGCCGATTCAGTTCCCCGACACTGAGGAAGGGCTACCCGACGAACTGGCGGTGCGGCTGTTTCGGATATCGTCGGTGCTGCCGGAGGCCAGCCGTAACCTGGCGGCAAGCCTGGACCTCCAGATGAGCGAGTATTCGCGCGGGTTCGTCTTCAACGCCGATATGACGTCGCTGGTCCAATTCCTGGACATCGGCACGCGCGGCCCGTCCAACGTGGAACTGCACTAATCAAGTCTGCGCTAATTCAGGGGGCCGACGATGCCATTGTGTCCTCCCAAACGGTTCTGGACGCCAAAAGCAGGCAACAGCCCGGAAGAATACGAAGACGCCTCAGCAGTCTCCCCCGGCCAGTTTGACGGCGAGGGCGGCACGGCGTTAATCGCCATTGCCGACGGGGCCAGCGAGGCTGCTTTTTCCAGAGAATGGGCCAAAATCCTGACCGACGCATTCCTCAGCCGCCCGCTGGACCTGCCCAACCTGGACGATTCCGCCTTGACCGACTGGCTGAAGCCGTGCGGAGAGGAATGGAGCGAGGGCGTGCCGTGGGACCGGATCCCGTGGCACGGCGAGGCCAAGACCAGGGCCGGCGCACTGGCGGCGCTGCTGGGAATGACCGTTGACCTGACGCCCAACAGCTCCGGAGGCTTCCCTTGGCGGGCCGCCGCCGTGGGCGACTGTTGCCTGTTCGTCGTCCGCGATGACGTGCTGGAAGTGGCTTTTCCTCTGGATGAGTCGGGCCAGTTCAACAACACCCCATCCCTGATTTGCAGCAATCCAGACAATAACGCGGGGCTGTGGGAGTTGGTCTGCCAGCTCAGCGGGGAGTTCCGGCCCGGAGACGTGGTTATCCTGGCCTCCGACGCCCTGGCCGCTTGGCTGCTCCAGGAACATGAATCAGGGGGCAAGCCGTGGGAAACGCTGCAGTCGTTGGAGCCGGCGCGAATGGGACGACTGGGTGCAGGAACGACGCGACGAGCGTGCGATGCGAAACGACGACACCACCCTGATTGTCATTGAAGTGGAACAGCCCAGCGATAGGAAGTAGCAGCGATGGCATGGCCGGGCATAGCGGAGTTCAGCAGCGCGATTCAGAATCCGGTGCGATGTTTTGCCGACCCGGAGCTTTCCAGCGGAGAGCTGGCGGTGTACGACCGGGGCGGACGGGCCGGGATGCCCGTAGTATCGGCCGGCAATTTCGCTGCGGTGTATCGGGTATCCAACCAGGGCCGCAGCTTTGCCGTGCGCTGTTTTACCCGTGCCGTGAATGACCAGCACGCGCGTTACGGTCAGTTGGACACCTTCCTCAGGGCCACCCTCCCACCGGCCTTCGTGGAGTTTGAGTACCTCGAACAGGGAATCCTCGTCGCCGGCGACTGGTATCCATTGGTCAAAATGGAGTGGGTCAACGGCGAGCCGATGAACAAATTTGTCGAGAGTAACTTGAACACACCCAACAGCCTGCAAATCGTAGCCGCCCGGTGGCGGGGGCTGGTGAGCGCCCTCGGCTCTTTGAACATCGCCCATAATGATCTGCAGCACGGCAACGTTATGGTGCAGCAAGACCGCTCCCTACGTCTGGTAGATTACGACGCGATGTTTCTGCCCCAATACGCGGGGCAGGCCAGCCCTGAAAACGGGCATCAACACTTCCAGCATCCGCTGAAGACGTCCCAAAACTACAACGAGAGTGTGGACAACTTTCCGGCCCTCGTAATCTACGTTAGTCTGCTGGCCCTCGCCGCCGACCCCGGCTTGTGGAACCGGTTTTATAACGACGACAACCTGCTGCTCAGGAGGGTTGATTACGGAGACCCGGCTAATTCCCAGTGTTTCCAAGCCTTGAAAAGCAGCCAGGACGATACAGTTCGCTATCTGACAGCCTACCTGGAGCAGTGCTGCTCTTTTCAGGTAGAGGCGGTTCCCAATCTGGAAAGCATATTGAACACTCAGCAGGGGCAACCCGCCCCGGCACCAATAGCGGCGCCTCCGTTGGCGGCGCCCGCGCCCGCCGCAGTTGTACCGCCCCGGTCAGCCCGCCCACGCCGTTGCGCCACCGCCCTCCCGCGCCCGCCGCAGTTGTACCGCCACCGCCCCCCGCCCTCCGCCTGTTGCGCCACCGCCCATGCCCGCGCCCGCCGCAGTTGTACCGCCACCGCCCGCACGGCCACCGCCCATGCCCGCGCCTCCGCCTGTTGCGCCGCCGGTCATGGCCGCGCCACCCTCCGTTCCGTGCCCCAGGTGTGGGTTGCCCAACCCGGCGAACCTTATCTATTGTGGCAACAGCCAGTGCCTGGCCACGCTGTATTCGGGCAATCGTTTCTGCTCGAGTTGCGGCACCCAGACCCCGGTCAATGCCAGATTTTGCCCTGCCTGCGGGCGTAACGCCTAGCCACTGAGTATTTTGCTATGGAATGTCCCAATTGTCGTAACACGATTCCTGATACATCGACATTCTGCGCCTATTGCGGAGCGACGATAACCCCACCGGCTGCCGCCGCGCCCAGTTCCGGTTCCTCCCGGCGGTGGCTATTCATCGGCGGCGGCATCGCAGCCATAGTCGTAGTGGTTGTCGTCGTTGCCGTTCTAATCTTGGGCGGCGGTGACCCGGAGCCGTCGCAGGCTGTCCTCCCGGTCCCGCCGGCCACGCCGCTCCCGGAAGCTGCGGCAGCTCCGGCCGACACGCCGGTGGCTCCGCCCACGGCGATGCAGGCGGCCACGCCGGTCCCGCAGTCGACCACGGCGCCCCTCGCGTCAGCCCCATCAGCTAACTCGGACAAGAACATCATCTTTTCCGACCTCGACTGGACCAGCGCCAAGGTTCAGACGCGCATCGCTCAATATCTCGTTGAACACGGCTACAGATACCGTACTGCCTTGATGTCCGGCAGCACTGACCACCTGTTCCGCAGTCTGCGCGACGGCGAAGTCCACGTCGCCATGGAAATCTGGCTGCCGCTGCAGGACGCCGCTTGGAGGGAAGCATTGTCCAACGGCGAGGTCGCCTACGGCGGCGTCAGCCTGGGCGATGACTGGCAAAGCACCTTCGTCATTCCGAAGTATCTGCAGGAGGAATACCCCGGTCTGGACCATGTGGATGACCTGAAAGACCCCAGGTATCGGGAGTTGTTCGCCACCACCAACGGTAAAGCTCGGTTGGTGGGTTGCGTGGTCGGCTGGGCTTGCGAAACGGGCAACCAAGCCCAAATTGAGGGCTACGGCCTGACCGACCATCTGCAAGTCGTCAAAC